CTCTTTCCGTACCTCGGGCCTCATAATCGATGTAGTGCAGGGTAAATTCTTTGATCTTTCACTTCAGCGATAAACGTAATATCTGATTCTTGAAATGTAGAATCTGTTTTTGAAATTTGAGCAGATATCCGAGCTATGAACGGGGAAGCTGTTCATGCGAATCCTAGAAAGACGGGGATGATAATCTTAGGAGGGGGACTGCCAAAGCACCACATCTGTAATGCCAATATGATGCGTAATGGTGCAGATTACGCCGTGTTCATAAACACGGCCCAAGAATTTGACGGGAGCGACTCTGGTGCTCGTCCCGACGAGGCTGTTTCTTGGGGTAAAATCAGAGGCTCTGCTAAAACCGTTAAGGTTGTCAGATCGAAACCCTTTTCTTCTTTCTTTCTTTCTATTGCGCTTCTGTCTGATTTTACCGATCTTTTCTTTTTCCGTGTTGGATCGTTCTGTAAAGGTACATTGCGATGCCACCATTGCCTTCCCTCTGTTGGTTGCTGAAACATTTGCTGTGAAGAGACACTCTACCTCCAACGCTTAGGACTTCTTCTTTGTCACTGTCCAGATTCGATTCTTTGCAAGAGGAAAGCTTCTTGCAGTGATCAGAGTAATGATTCTTTTTGGCGATGGATTTCTTACAGAACTTTCCCGACCCGTCAGATTATGTGTAGTTTAAGACAAGAAAATAGAACAGTAGTTATACTTTGAGAGGTGTTTTATGTTTTCCTGTGTTACGGCGGGCTCAGAAACTGATCAATGAGATCTTAAAAAAAAGGTGGGGCAGATCCGTAAATATGGAAAGTGCGGAGGTCAGTTCTGTCAAAACCGGAAGTTTTCCGGAATGCAAGCTCCAAGCCTCTCCTCGTGTTACTTTTCTTTTAAATAGTACCCGAAAACTTCCATCACTTCCGAATAAAGACGTACTATTTTGTATTTATAACAGAAGAACCTCTTTAATTTATAAATTTTCAGAATTGACCACTCACTCGAAAATTCTTCGGACGTGTTCTAAACACGAACAGACTTTTGATTCTATTGAACAGTAAAGATCAAGCAAAGCACATACGTATCAAGATATAATTCTCAAAAGTTTCACACACCCATCATTTATTCATTACATAACATATGTTCCATATCACAGAACAGAACCAGTTTGATGAGAACACACGCTTTCTTCACTTGACGTCAATGGCCTTAACCTCAGACTTCTTCACCTCCGTCTTCGGCACCGTCACCGTCAAAACACCGTTCTCCATCGCCGCCTTTGTCTCCTCCGCCTTGGCATTCTCCGGCAGCCTGAACCGCCGCACGAACTGGCCGGAACTCCTCTCCACGCGGTGCCAAGTCTCACCCTTCTCCTCCTTCTCCCTCTGCCTCTCTCCGCTTATCTTCAGCACGTTGCCTTCCTCCAGCTCCACTTTCACTTCCTCTTTCCTCAGCCCCGGGAGGTCGGCTTTGAACACGTGCGCCTCAGGAGTCTCCCTCCAGTCAACGCGCGCGTTCGCAAGCGCCGCAGTGTCGGACGCCACGTCGGATCTCCCGCCGAATGCTGTCGGCCAGTTCAAGAATGGGTCCCACGTGTCGAAGGAGAAAGGGTCGAAGACGCTGCTCCGGCCGAAGATGTTGCTGGGAATCAGCGACATTGTTGAAAGGCTCTGTTTTGTTATCTCGGGAAAATCTCGATCTTGTTTCTTCGTGTTGAATCAGAATCGTAAAGAGCGGGGTTGTATTTATAGTTGCGAGAGGGTTGGGGCAGTTTTCGTAATTAGGAGAGTATTATGGGTGAAAAGTGAAAATATTAAAAAGTGTAGCGAGTTCTTGAGATTTCTGGAGAGACGAAGACTCTTCCCGGATTGTGTTGTGCTTCACTTTCTGGTAATCGCTGGATTCCTTTCTTTTATAAATTCGATTATTTGTTTTATACATAAAAGGAAAAAAAACAATTAATGATATTGTATTGTTTAACTTAATGGGCTTAGTACGATATTTGGGCTTTGCTCTATTGAACTAATGGGCGCTTTTGAATATTTGGGCCGTAGATAAGAAGAAAGCCCAAACTTCCTGTTTTCATTCATTTTTTTTGTTTTTTTTCTTCATATTTTCACATTAATTTGTTTACTCGTGTACTTTGAATCTTTAATTCACGATTTTTTTTCTATAATTTTTTTAGTGTTATATCTAAAATTTACTTATTATTGTGAGATCTATATAGAAATCATATAGATATTGATTGCTAAAAGTCTGTACCCTATGTGTGTGCATGACAGTCCAAACAAAAATTAAATTCAGTATAACATTACGAATGATATTTAAAAAATATATAGATATATTTTTACATATAATTAACGATATAATTTATCACTCTTATTTCACAAGCCGTCTTCTAAAAACGAGACAAAGATAATATATGATGAACCAGATTTTCCAAAGACTGATACGAGGATCCTCCTTGTCTGACTGATCTTCCCACTTCCGCTTTCAGGGTCTCCATCCTCTCTCGAATCTCTTTTTCTGCAGATTCAACCATTAACGCCCTCACAGTTCTCTCGATCTCCCCTCTCTCGATCCGGCCCTCCAGGTGTAACCCGACTCTCCAGACATCGCTCACGAATCTTGCATTCAACATTTGGTCCCAAACTCGAGGCAGACATATCATAGGGACCCCTTCGTATACACTCTCCAATGTCGAGTTCTGTAACAACCCAGATTTTAAAAAAAAAAAAAAAACGTAGAACGTCCGTTCTGGGTTTTCCAGAACGGACGGACCGCTCGCGCAGTCCGGAACGTCCGTTCCAAACCATAGAACTGACAGACCAAACTGTCGGCAACGACCACAGTCGCGGTTTTCGTCCGGGCCGACCTGAAAATGACCCCTGCGCACTAATCCGACCAGCAAACTCAACCTTTTGACCCTAACGCGTGATTAGGTCTCTCCTGGGTCCGGATTTCTGTCGGAAATCGCCTAATCCGAGCTTAAATTAACCCCTTTCTCTCTCATTTGTTCTTCACCATTCAAACTCCGAATTCTCTCTCAAATCCGAGGCAATTACGCTCGAGTTGGTTTCTGCAGACTCAGAGGAGCATCCCCAAGCTTCCCATTCAACACCCATAGCACGGGCTTAACCCGAGGTGAGTGAATTCGAGTTTAATTCGGAAGTCTGTTAGACATGGGGTTTTGGGTTTTGAGTGATTTTGTGCGAAATTGATGTTTGATTCGTGTTGTGCATGCAATATTATGAGTTTTAGTGTTATACCCATAGTGAATCGTGCATGTTTGTGTGTTTTGGTGAAAATCCGAGGACCAGAACGTCCGGTCTGAGGTCAGACCGTCCGTTCTAGGTCTGCTGGAGAAATACAGAAGTCCAGAGGTTGAAGACGAAGTCCGGAACGTCCGTTCTAAACCAGACCGTCCGTTCTGGTCAGGCAGAACGTCCGTTCTGGTCAAACAGAACGTCCGTTCTGGTCCAAAATAGAACGTCCGTTCCAACCGACTGGACCGATCGGTCTAGGACTAGACCGATCGGTCTGAAAAAAATAAAAAGAGTAACGGAACTGTAAAATTTCACCATGAGGAAAATTGAAAAACATGATAATACCCGTCTAATATGACCCTGGTTAAAATTATGAAAAAGTGAAAAATATAAATTATACCGGAATTACGGGCCAGACCGGACCCCACGTAGTCTGGACCCAAAATGAATAACAGGTAAGGTTAGAAACCACAGAATGAACCGAACTGGTTATCCGGACGGACCGGGACCAGCTAAGTCATACCGAAGGTACAATTCGGTAAACTCGATGAAGAGAATGAAAGAAAATATATAAAGAAATATAAAAGACTACACAAGCGGAAATGCCTGTATAGTAAATAAACTATATAAATGCATGTGATTGGGGTAGCTGGCATGGCACTAGCGTTAATTCGGAAGGGTTCGGATTAACGTTTAGCGCGTGATTGTAGAAACGGACGCTTGTGAATGATTATACGATGGTTGCGAGATTGCGTCCCATCTACGGGCCATCCGATCCGGGTCGGATGCCACCCGTATGGGATATGATTGTGAATGTGGCGATGATATAATCGCGCCAACGTCCGAATGACAGGACGGTTATGGGCACCCCGATGACTTGCGTGGATAGCCGATTGGGGTCGGTACTATTGCGTGACGAGGAACACACGGTTTTTAGAACCGCGC